TTAACATACTTATTTCAACTTTTAAAGATGATAGGAAAAGTAATAATCTAATGTACTACCTAATATATTTGGAATAGAAAAATTATAAACAAGATTAATATACTTATACATTGATTATAAAGTACTTGTATTTGTTATATTGAAGTGAAACTTAGGGGTAAAAATGGACATTTCAAAAATGTATAAATACTAAGTTACAAGTCTACAGCAACTCTTTTATACAAATGGTCAGGCAATCTTGGGGCAACAATAGCTTGTAATGGGGTTCTCATTTGTGCCACTAATTCCATGCTGTCTTCCATATCAATGTCCTCAGGCATTAGTCCATCAGCTGGAGTCCAATTATAATGGTGAAGCAAATGACCCAACATAGATGTAACCAAATTCAACCCATATTGAGCTCCAGGGCATACTCTTCTTCCTGCACCAAATGGTAAAAGTCTATAATCATGCCCCTTCATGTCTACATCCTCTTCCATGAACCTTTCGGGGCGAAACTCTAACGGGTTCTTCCAAACTGCCGGATCACGAGCAATGGCTGAGATGTTAACATGGACATTTGAGTCTTTAGGGATGTCATAGCCTCCTAGCTTAACTTGGGAGCTAGCTCTATGAGGAAGGAGGAAGGGAGTTGGAGGGTGTAGCCTTAGTGCTTCTTTAGCTATGCATCTTAAGTATGGTAAATTTGAGAAATCCCATTCTGTTATGATTCTGTCTGATCCAATCACTTGGTCCATCTCAATTTGGGCTTTCTTTTGGAGTCTCGAATCTTTAATTAACTCTGCCATGGCCCATTCTACGGATGTAGCAATCGTATCCATGCCCATTATTACCATTTCCTGCATATATTAAGGAAAATGTTATATACATTCCCTAGAAGCAATAATCAATTAAATATACATAACATTGATCAACGTGTGATTCTGTCATATTCGGATTTGGGAAACCCAATAAAGATGATGAGAGTTTAATCCACTAATAAACCCAAAAAACTTTCATACTAAAACCAATTGTTGATAATATAAGTAACTTCTCTAACTTATACACCTGTAGTTTCTGTTCTTAAATTTTAATGTAGGACAATTTATATGTGGGCGCAAGTGGATATTCAAAAGTTTCATGACCTAATTGGATCTTATGAAAGATAAAAGAATGTAATATAGCAAGTTCAAGTGAAAAGGTTGTAACATTGAACTTACCCAAAGGATGCTAGTAATAGTGTCATCACTAAGATCATACTTCTCTTGCAAGGTGACTAAGGCATCAATAAAGCTTTGCTTAACCGTTTCACCGCTCTTTTGGTGGGCAAGACTATGCTCTTTCATGATTTGCAAGGTAAGTGCATCTCTCCGAGCTACATGCTTAGCAAATGCCTTGCTATCTAAGGGGAACAACCACCGAAGCCATCGAATGTGCTCCCATACGGCCTTAGACTCCGACTCGATAAGCTCGAGTCTATTAGCCAATGTGGCCTTGATTTCCAATCCTTGCTCACTCATAACACCATCTACACCTTCAAACCTCTTCCCAAATACTAGCCTTGTTATGTTGTTGAATGTTGCTGCCTCTAAATATTTCCTTACTACCAAGCTTTTGCTCCTGTTTACTACGTCAAAGCATAGCAATATGTTGCATTAATTAGGATCAACACTATGTGCATTTAATTTGAACGTCAACTAATTAATTTATGTAAAATCGAAAACAACCAATGAAACATATATTAAGAGATAGCGACTCTCACACTGATTACCCACTATCATATTATATAATAATAAAATCATGTTTTTTTTTTTTGTTTTTTTTTTTTTTTTTTTTTTTTTTTTGTCTCTTAGAAGGATTAGTAACTCACGGAATCAACCAAAAATTTTGTATATAAACCAAGTGATAAATGTACATCATTATACTGTTCAAATCGTGTTATGTCTAAGTTTGAAAACCTTATTATATTAGTGGATTGCAATATTCCATTTCTTATTTTAACAATGATAGAATTCTCACCACCCATGCATTTATGAGGATATAAGTTAAATTTTTATTGATTTATTTTTAATTTCAAAGTTGGTGCCTGGTGGTAGACATGACCTAATATAACTAAATAAAAGTTGGTGGATCCAAGCAATATTCCAATCCAATGCAAATTAATTTGGTTTTTGGAGTATTTGAGTCCATATTCAATCCAAAATTTAACTAAGTTTTACTAAATCGTTCCAAATTATACTACTAATACTCATTTTTATGTCTATAATTGTTCCACAAAAATGATTTCGTTGGAGGAACTAATGAGATTAGATGTTCAATCATGCATTCACCTTTCCCACATTTTCCAATCACTTTAAATCTTTAATAGGGGTTTTGTGATGTCCCTTATTATTGAGCCATTATAATCATCAAAAAAAAATTGGATATCTTTGATTTGTAAAAGAATCATTAAAATTTGTTTCTCTCAAAATATATGCATTTAAAGATTTGAAACCAAATAAATTAGTTCACAAATGATAATATTTTGATGTTTGGATGAGTCGCAATCAAATAAGAATTCAATAAAAAAGAACGAACTTTGACCTCAAAAAGTAGTGTGTAACCATTTTTATAAAACGAGTTGAGTAAAATGTACGTGTGCATGATATATATGTATGGATGTTTAAGTAGACAAATTAAGAAAACTCTTTAATTGCAATGGGTCAGGGATAAAATAAGAGATTAAGTATTGAGTAAAATAAACGAACATACCAGGATTGGTGCAATCCTTGAAAATGGATTCAACCATGGCTGTGACCTCATCTTCTCTAATAGGTCTAAGAGCCTCAAGCCTTTTAGGAGAAAAGAGCTCCACCACACATATATTTTTCACCTTAACATAATGAGGCTCATAATCTGCCCATAAAAGCCCTTTACCACTCTTGCTAAACTTGGCAATAGATCTACTCCTACATCTATCGGCTAATTGTTGATCATTCTCCTTAAAAACTTCCCTAGCCAACTCTGAATTTGATATAACCACATTCAAACTCGAGCCAAACCAAACTGAAAAGATGGGTCCATAATGTTGGACCCATCTATTAAAGCATTCAAACTTATGTAGCTTAATGTCATAGAAGTTACCAACGATAGGCCTCGGGCATGGCCCCGGTGGTAGTCTAATGGTAAGCTTTTTAAAGATTCGATAAGAGATGACTAAAAATAGAATAGAGAAGCAAAGTTGGTATATAGAATCCATGAAATAAATTTGATGTTTGAGAGGGAAAAATAGAGATTTTCAAGAGAAAGACAATGAAAATTATTATAAGAAGGCTAAGTGTTGGAAGAAAGTGGGAATGTAATAGCACATTGTTGATTGGCGAAGGATACGTTAAGGTATGTTTGACATTTGACAAAACAATTTTGGACATGGAAGAAAGTGGTAGACCATTTTCTAGGGTCAAACTCCTTATGATAATTGATAATGGTACACCCCACGTTCAAATGCAGAAACATTGAAATAATATTACATGTAAACATATAATTATAGGGTTTGCACCAAAAAATAAAAAAATAAAAAACATATAATTATAGGGTTTTTATCTTTTCTTAAATATATTATGTTTCCCCATTTTTACATGTTAGTTTTGTCTGGAATACCAAACAAACATGCACGATTTGATTGGAAATGGCAATGTAAATTATTTAATGTTAAACAAGGAGTGCTATTATTTGAATGTACAATGGTCAATGGAAGATTCATCGTGCAAGAAGTGTTAAATAATTTTTAAATAATTTCTATTTATGATTTAAAATGACTATGATGAAGGTATATTTTATTTAATCGAAACTTAATTGAATTTAACTAATTATATTAAAAGAGATGAACTAAACAAGATCTCAATAAATTTAGTGTAGTGTTAATCTCGTGGCGTGGGAATTGACTTTGTGGAGCACTCTATGGGTCTAATGATGCATACAATGCATGGTTCGTGTAGGCGGATGCACAATTCACATGGTGCATCTCTTCCAAAAAAAAAGCGGAAAGAACATTGCATAGAAATATAAAGAACATTTAGTTTAAGTGAAAAGAACATATTATAGAATTGTAAAGAACATTGTATAGAAATGTAAAGAACATTCCGTTAAAGTGCAAAGAACATGTTATAAAATTGTAAAGAACATAACGTGCAGTTAAATAGTGTTCTTTATCTTCATGTTCTTTGATTGTCAAAATAATGTACTTTTATTTGTGACATATGTTAATTGTTTAATTTGAAATGTTCTTTGAATTTTGTCTTTAGATTATGGTGGTTGAATAAAAATAATGTTCATTACATTATATTATCATTAAAGGTGATAAAAATTTCTGGTCGGGCTGGGCTATAACATAATATCTCGTGTCCAAAAAACCCAAAAAATGTAGTGGGCTTTTCGGCTTTTTTCGGGCCAAGTTTGGATTTTTTTAACTAAAAATGCATTTTTAGGCTTGTCTAAACCCGCCCTATTTTCGGGTTGGATCGGGTCGGGTCGGGTCTGGTCGGGCCGAAGTTGATCACCTCTAATTATCATGTTTTTAATTAATATTACGGATGTTCTTTAGATATATATAAAGAACATGAAGTTGGATGTTTGTTTTTACAAAATAGGTATATGTTCTTTATAAAACAACTATATGTTCATTACAATACAGCTATATGTGATGTTCTTTATGAAAAAGCTATATGTTCTTTACAAAACAAATGTATGTTCTTTATTGAACAACGGAATGTTCATTCCGCGTTTTTAAAGAGAAAACGGATGCACGGAGCATCGTGCATCCGCCTCCATAAAAAAAATTTCATGCATAATGTCATGAGAAATCAATCTTCTATTACTCATTCAATTTATTACAAGATTCAATCCATGATAGACCAATTTTGTTTCCAAAATAGTATGGATCTGCCGATCTGGTATATATACTAGCTCAATTCAATTGAAGATTACACCTTATAAGACTATGAGACCTCTTCTTATCAGGATATAATCAGCTATTGTATATGTAACGCAATACCTGAAATATTTTTCACTGTTCTCCATAATAGTTTACATCTTGCAGAATATAAAACAATAATTCAAGTCACATAGACGAAAACATAAACATCAAAGAAAATTATAGCAATTCACAGACAGCTTTTTTACTGATGGCAAGTTTCTACTGATGGCAGGTAGAATTGCAACATTGCAACGTAAACTGATACATACTGTAACCAAAGTGATGGTGATGCTGCTTTTTTACATCAGGATTACAGAAAATTACACCATAACTCCTTACGGAGAAAAAGAAAGAAAGCAAAGACACAATCTCTTTACAAAACCAAAGGTAGGGAGGAAAATCACAGAGCTCGCTGCAGTAATAGGCCAGAGTGCTTCAAAACCAGTATAAAATTGCGGCACCCATAACAGCACTTCAGGCCAATGAAAAATACAGGAAGAAAAAAAACACGAGCAGCCATATTGTACTCATGTAGCATCTCTCCTCTGATAGCTGAGCGAGCAGGAAAAGCCTTTTCCCAAATCAACCTTGGAAAACAGAGATGTCTTCCTTTTTATCATTGTCAATACAGAAAAAAGGACAACAAACTAGTGTACAATTTGAACAGACAACTGCACAACAGAGGTACAATCATGCATCACGTCTGACAAAAACTATCTTTGGACTCGGGCCAAGCTGAAGTACACAATTGGTCATTAAAGGCCTCGGCTCTATATAAGACCCAGGTACCAGTTTTACCTGCACAATCCGTAACATTTCCAAGAGATTAGATCCATGTGCCATATGACAAGTAAAAAATTTTATACAATACAATTCTTGAAAATGTTAAACATAATGCCAGATAATCATTTTTTTTAGATAAGAATTTAAGCATATGGGTGGTTTGAAATTTTTAACAATTTCATTAAACGTAATGATTCTACAGAAATTTAGCAGAGGATTAAATTGTCTATGATAGCAGTTAAGCAAGAAATCACATCTTTGACAATACAAGAGGAAGCAACAACTGATATAAAATAAAAATAACAAGCACTGCACTTTAACATGGTTCAACGAGGATAAAGAGAGGATGTGCTGGCAGAGGTGCGATTCTTTTTTTTCCTTTGGGGGGGTGGGGGGGGGGGGGGTGGTTAGGTGTAAATCGTTTAACGATATCTGGTGACTGTAGCCATTCAGAAAGGGGGTGCTGTAGTTACCATTATATACTTTCACAATACTAGAACATGATTGTGCCACACTTCATGACATCACTCTGTCACTACCACAGAACAAATTCACAAATAAAGAAGAAACTCCATAACTGCATGACCAAATAAACTTCACACATAATTCTCAACAATCTCAAGCTCTTAAGAAGCTGGACAATGATTAGGTGATACACCTCATACATAATAATCTCCCTCGATGCAGCAATATACAACATTCATACTCCAGGATGTTCCTCTAACTTAACACATAAAATTCTTCTACTGATGCATGTTTTCCTGATAACAGAAAATTTCTAATTTCAAAACCTAGTAATTTCATAGGCTCGTAGCACTAATCCTAACAAAATAAACCATCATACATCAACATACCATTATTAAGCATACATAAAACTCTAATGAACTTGCTGTTAGTAATTTACTTTGTTTCAAGATATGGCATACCTCTCGTCAAAAAAAATAAAATAAAATGAAAAAATAAATAGATTTGGCATACTTTATCATATTTTCTTTGAATTACAATCACCCATACAAAGCAACACAAACATTCATAAGCTCAATACACCGAACAGCTAAAGTTAAAACTACTTCCTCCGTTCCATTAATATTGCATCATTAACTTTATTAGTATTAATAAATACATTCCCCTTTGACCTGTTATGATTTATTTGTAAGGAGAACATAGTCATGTGAGATCTTATTTGATTCGTCTCAAAATAACTTTCAAGATATCAACTTTTTATAACCTTCACTTAGAGAAGACTAAACATATTGATAACTAAAATTGTTCAAAGGGAAGCATAAAATTCTACATATTAATCATGAAAAAAAAAAATGATTTCGACAATAAGGACCTAACTATCAAGTTGAAAATGACAAATAAGAAATATTTTGAAAGTTTTAGGGGAGTATTTGGTTTGATGCAAAACGTTTTCATGGAAAATGATTATTCCATTTTACATTTTTTTTTTTTGTGCCTGGTTTATGAAGGGGTGGAATTACACTCTCAACGATGAAAAACATTTCCTTTACAAAAGAAGTGATGCCACATTTTCCTCCCTCCTACCTCCTTTTTTTTCCCTTCTCATCATCCTCACCTCTCCACTCCCATTTTCAATATCTCTATAACAATTTCTGTAAGGAAATGAACAAAATAAATCTAAATTGCAATTATGGTTTTCCTTATGTTTTCCATGAAAAACCATTTTTCATTAAAATTGTCTTTTCTCAAACCAAACAGAAGCCTAGATGTTATCTAAAAACCCTTAAAGGCCTAAAACCTACTGTGAGTATTGTCTACCATTACAATTGCTCATACCGCCTTGCCCACTTACCATCTAGTTCTTACACGTCACGCATGATCCCCAACTTTTGCAATCCCCTTTTTCAAAAAATATTAAAGAATGGGGCACAAGGTGAATTATTTAAATAAAATGCACATTTCAATGCATGAAGTTTCAACAAAAAACAGTGTTGTATCTGATATGATACATCTATATTATCAGTAAGAAAACAAACCTCATACTGTTCAAGCAGTGACGCAAATATTGATGCAATTCCTAAAATGGCAAACCTCTGGCCAACACATCCACGTAGCCCAGAACCAAATGGAAGAAATGCAGCATTCTTATATGGATTGCTTAGGATGTACGACCCATCTCCTGAATCTGGAGGCACTTCAGCAGCATCTACACCAATAGCAGTCAATTAATATACTTGTAAGAAAAAGAATAATAAGATGAGCAGTAATACTGAATTTCATATAGTATATCTTCTAAAATCTCTAATTTTTTACACCCTTCTACGTCTGCAATTCTTTTTCTTTTGACATACTGTATACAATAATAACAAACATTTTTAAGGATATACAGTTTACAATAATAACAGTCCACCTTAGATAGAAAAACAATAATCGGTAACAAAGAAAAGGAAAAAAACCTGTAGTTTCAGAGCTTCTGCTAAGTTCAGATCTCTTTTCAGACTTAGACAAAAAACGGTATGGATTGAACTGTGCAGCATCACTTCCCCAATTGTTTTCATCCATCTGAACCAACTGTATTGGTGCAACAAGCAGAGCTCCGGCAGGAATGTGCAAGCCATTTTTAAGATCCAAGTCTGGAACAAGGAAAAGAATTTTGGAGTACAAAAGAGCAATAATCAACCATACACAAAAGGCTTTCATCTAATGCTACAGTGCCATAATAAGCAAAAAAAAAATTACAGTGATTCCAACTTCCCAACCCCAACCCTCTCAAAAAAAAATTCTAATACCCCAAGTTACCAGCCACCTCAGAGAACAGGCTATGTTAAATGATAAAGGATTCAATAATAAAATAAAGAGTTAATGACCGATGACCAACTGCACAAAGACCATATATATCATTGCCATAATTTTCCAATACATGAGCACACATAGCCCTAGAATAAAGCCAAATAACTTTTTCATAAAAAGTAAATTGCTAAGATAAACTGGTTAAGACCGTTAGTGGTTAAAGCTGGCATGTAACAACAACTCTTCATTATACCTCAAGTAATCGTCTCAAAAATTTAAAACTAAGAAATGAGTATGATACTTTGAAACTTCATATTGAACTAAAAAATTTTAACTTATGAAAATGATCATTGTAACTTAAAGCAACTCGTCTAATCATACACTTGGTTTTATGAGTGCAGGCCAAACAATTCTATACATGATAAGTGTGTTAATGGAGATTTAGCATGAAAATGAGTTTAACACTGCCAACTTTATAGCTAATTCTCCTCAGCACAACATATATCCAATTTAAATACACCAAAATTTGGTCAGAGACCCATACCTTGTCCCAAGGAGCATCTCTGCAGCAAAGGTCCAGCAGGAAGGAGGCGGGCCGATTCATACAAGGTAGCCAATAAGAGGTGCATTTCACTGACATCTTGCTTTTTAAGTTTATCATACCGTTTTCTTATGGTAGTTACCTCTAGATAGATCTGTAATAGGATCAACATACCAAAATTAGATGTGTGCTCGTCTGTCTAACGCCAGGTAAATATTTGAACAAAGCAAGTTAAATTTCCTCATTGTGCTTTGAAACACTTATATACCAAGCTTATACAACAGGGTAAGCCCAGAACATACATGCAATAGGAATGAGTAATGATAATGAATATGTACTTTATAGGGCTTACAACATGCAACAAGTGCGAAACCAAGTTTAGCAACTATATATTTACCAATAGGTACAATATTGAGAAGTGATTATCTTCCTTACCTAGTCAGTCATCTGCTAACAAAACCTATTTTAAATACCATGAAATTATCAAAGTCTCAAGACTTTGAATCCTTCCTCAGGATGCCTCAACCCCCCAAGCCCTTACACTCTGTGATTTTTGTCAGCAACCTATGTATGAACCCTTCCAGTCACCCAAATGTTCCCCCATTTTGATTATCTGCATTAACTTATGTACCAATCAACTCTTGTTCATTCAGCTCAGTGGACGTTGCAGGTATTCTTTTAGTAGATAAGGAAATAGTTTTAAAAGAAGTGATATACAAAGTGAGAGCTAGCTGTCCACAATATGCATATAACATATGATAAGATGCAAATTAATTCCCAAGAGAAACCCTTCTTATGTTCTGCAATTGCCATAGTCCACAGTTCAACTGAGGTGAATTTTTCAGGATTGTTTTTCACTTTTTCTTTACTCAATCCAAATCAAGTATAAGCCAACAAGATTAACAACTCCTAGAAAAGAATCTACATCATATCCATCACGATAATCCAGATTCTAACAGTTTACCGTCCATCAAAGGCTTCAATCCTAAATGGTTAACATAATAACATATGTGTGCCCAAAGCACCAAGTTGGGACACAATACATGATAAAATCTTGAACAAAGACGGCTCAAGTGAATCTGATATGATTTGTCAACCTTGGCTTATTAAACTCTCCACTAAACTAGGTAAATATTCAAAATGAAAATGAAGTTGAATTGCTGAAATGCTATAAATAAGAAACAAAACAAGCATCTTGTAGAGTCAAACTAAGTTAGATATATCTCTAATGTTATTCCAAGCAAGGACACAGGCAAGAGGAGGAAATGAGGATTAAACCCTTGAGAAAATGTACAAGCATGGAAAAGTGTAATTCTAACCACAAACACATATGCTCTCAATTGGCCTGAGTATGTAAAAAACCAGCGAGTATAGATCAAGTAATACTCCCTCTATCTCAAATTAATCATTCCTTTTGAATTTTCAAGTTAATGATCATTAACTTTTACCACATGTTTTATTTAAAAAGTAATAACAAACCTTATCATGTGTGATGTTAGAAGCATTGTAATGTGTACTTTCAAAATAATAACTTTTTATAAATCAAATTGTTACAAAATTATAGATATGCATGGTCAAAAAAACATGCTGAGTATAAGCGTCAAACATATGAAGTAATCATTTCATCTCAATCAATAATGTGTATCCAACTAGTCCAATAATCAGTGCATGAAGACAAATTATTCAAGAAAGTGAATGTGAGCTGCAAGTGAATAGTTTGATTTAAAGGAATGGAAAATCAGCAATTTTACCTTTTCCTGTATCCCAGGATGCATTGAAAGTCTGGCCAAGACATTACCGATCAAACCAGCAGTAGTAAGGCACCCATGAAACATCATTCCCATGACATTTCCATTTGCTTCTTCCCGTTGATTCTGATGACAACAGGGCTCTTGTGAGCTTGAACTCGCAAGCTTTGCCACGCCACTTGAAAAAGTTGTACCAGATGCAGCTTCCTCATCCTTCATTTTAGGATTGCTGTGGCAGTTGGGTTGACATAACAGCTTGTAGTTCATCTGGCACTGCTGAACAATATCTTGAGTCAAGGATTTCAGCTTTGAGCACAAATGTTGATACTTCCAATAGCCTTGTTTCCAGAATGGTGGAACATTATATGATGCCCAAAAGCAAGCATCTTTTGCAATCCTTATAAGAAGCTCCTCATAAGCATTGGCTTTGGACCATGCAAAAAAAGCATCTCCAAAAAACGTGGCTCCTAGTATGGAGAAAGCCATGTGTTGGGAGAAAATTTCACAATCAAGGGCTCCCTTGTCCATGGTGACACATATTCTTTCCATTACAAAATCCACAGCTCTATCAGTCATTGCATTTGCTTTCTCGAGCAACTTCCCATTCAATTCTACTGCCAAAGTCTCCCTTCTTCTTTTGACCTACCAATTAAATTAATTGCTAAATTAGGCAAGGTCATATTGATTAATGCAGATGGTATTCAATATAAATAAACAAAAACAAAAAAGGATTTTTTTTCAGTTTGATATAACAAATCATTATATCTAAAATTGAGTATCACAGGCTCAAGAAGAAAGTAAGAGAAATGTCAGTTTAAGTTATTTTATAATTGACAATTGTAAATGAAAGGACAAATGTTAGATTCCGAAAGAATAAAAGTCTTTTGTTAGTGAGGCCTGATGTGATTAAAATTTGCAAAGAAATATCTGAGATGGAAACGGGGAAGAAAAGGAGCATGAGAGTAAGAGGGCTTCTTGAATAGCAGCTGCTTCACTTCTCAATAAAGGAAGACAAGTAATAGTGTTACACTCCTATCACTCAAAAGGAGGTTTTCAGCACCTAATTAGTATTTACCTCATCGTTACTCTGGAATTTATGTGTATATGAGGTACTCCCTCCGTTCCATTTTATATTACTTGTCAAATCATCCATTTTAGACAGTCCCATATTCCCAAATTACTTGTCATTGTGACAAGTCAAATAATGCTTTCTTCTTCCCAACCAATATATATATGGTGACAATTTTGTTGAGGCAAATAGATAATAGTATAATACTCCCTCCATCCCCAAAACTTCGACTATCTTGGGTTGATTTCGCGGTTATTAAGAAACTTAAATAAAAAGAAATAAAAACATATTGGAAAGATAAATTTACATGGGGTTTGTAAAAAAGTAGAGAGATAAAGTATTAAAAAAACATGAAAAAAACAAAATTTTATATGGGGAATCTAATTTTGCACAAAATTTAATTGTAAATTGGTGGTTATTTTGATAAAAATGGGTCAATCATTTTGGGACTAAAATTAGGCCAAAAAGGTCGAAGTTTTGGGGACGCAAGGAGTACAAAATTGAACTTGCAATGATTAGAGTGCATTTTCACAACATCTAATTTGTTTTTTAGTTTACCAAACCATTATATTCCGAGTACTTTTTTATTGACTGCATTGAGTCAGTGAGTGGGTGACAAAGCATTAATTTTTAGTTTCCAAATTAATTTTTAGTTTCCAAAGAATGACAAGTAAAATGAGGCATGTGCTAAATTTTAGGCCACGAGTAAAACAAACAAATGTTCAAAAATATATTTTTGAAAATTGACACTTATATGTCAGACATAAATTTAATTTTCTTTGGATCTCCTGATGCCTGTCAATTCTGAATTGCTAGCTGCTTTTCAGCTTGAACTCCAGTACTTGACCACTATCAAGACACGTGGATTAAATAGAAAATTTCAATCATGGATTGAATTGACAAAAAGAATACAAAAGTAGTATTAGAAAAGGAGGCAGCTTGCCACACCCAAGGAACCAAACAAATAAATAAATAAAGAGAAACAAAGGAAAACTTTTGTTCAAAGTATTCTGTTGCAAACTTGCAATTTTAAGATTAAACTACTAACACTGTGTACATTTTGTAATTTGTATTTCTACATAAATGACAGCATACCTTTTCAAATGAAGAGACAAAGAAACTTGACTGTCCAAAGGCCAAACGGTACACCCTCCCTATCAGAGGCATTTTATCGGCAGCCTTCAACAGCAATTCATTTATAACCAAGGGGTCTTTTACAGACACTAGCAGCTGAGTAGGACTTAGCCACAGCTTTATGATTGATCCATACTTCTTATGTGACTTATCCAAGAGATCTGAAATAAAATTGAAACCAAAAGGACATAAAAAGTGTAAGCATCAATGCTTCTTATACTTGAGTGATGCACATCAATGATGCTCCCTCCCCTCCGTCCTCAATTGTTTGCCCACAAGCTAATATTTACTTTGTTAAATTTGGTTTGAGTGGAGTTTATAAAAGACAAAGTGGTGGGGCAAAATGTATTATATGAGAGAGTAAAGTTGTAGTCCTCATGATTAAAAATAGAAATGGGACAATCTTTGTAGGGATGGAGGGCATATGATGTAATTTTCACTTGATATAAGCAATAATTTGAGTTGTAAGACTTGTAGCACAAATGAAAGTATCATATATTAGATAAACTTTAGTGAAAATACAATTAGGTGCTCAGTGTTGGAATACTAAAGTAAGCCTACTTCACTTAGTAAGTTCATCTATTCATTTTCTAACAATATAGAACCAAAAACATGTTGCCACTCCATATTTCAAAGACTGCTGAGGAATAACAGCACCCTGTACAATAAATTTATATATTTCATGATTGTATGTCAACAAACTTAAGCCAAACTTTGGTATAACTCACTCGTAATACTTTGATATAGGCATATAGTCTGCATTTTGACATGGAAGATCTACAATAGTCTGCATTTTGACATGGAAGATCTGTTCTAAGAAAACTTCTCATTGAGTTCATTCAAATATCATTAGTTGGCCATTGATGGTTCTACACAGGTACACAGAAGGGGACTTGCTGGCCCTTTCAAAACCAATTTACGAATCAACTAAAAGCCCCTCCGAGAACCGCTACATATTGCAAAGCGGGGGCTTTAGCTAGGGGGATTGGGGTAATACAAAATGACAAGCAGAATACCCACTAGCACGCCCATTAGAAGATACCAAAATAGTAAAACGAGCAGCATCAACATTAATTGAAACCCTATTGATGTCCAATAAAAACCAGATAACTTTCATCCAATATCCAAAACACATTTGTGCTTCATCTTAAATTTCATGGTTCAAAAATACCTACTTAAATACCATAGATTAACAAAATTTCAATTTTGAGCACCAATAAACTAATCGACAAGCTACTTAACAACACCACCTCATTATCCAATACAACCAAATCGAATACCACAACATATTCAGCTCAAAACACTAAAAAATCATCACAAAAAATTACAATACTACTCATACCCCAATACGCCATCAGCCGCATTCACATCAACTAAATTCAACATAACTTCAATTTTGAGCATCAATATAACTGATCGACAAACTGATCAACAACACCAATTCATATCAAACACGCAAATCAAAATATATAACAAAATCAGCTCAAAACACTCAACATAATTAGCTCAACACACTCAACAAAATCAGCTCAAATTCCTCAAAACACTAAAAAATCATCAAAAATTCAAAAAAAAAAAATTACCAGTGAGATCCTGATGAGAATTGGCGCCAGCAAAGAGCACAGAATGACCATAAAAGGAAGGTGAAGGAGGACCAGGAATACGACTACCATACGACCAAATTTTGAAGAGAACAAACAATTTCCTTAGCAAAATAGCAGAAATTCCAACAAAAGAAAGCCAAAGCAAGAAATTAATCTCTCGAATTGCATAATCCCACAACATTTGATTGCAAGAAACAGATGATTCAGACGATTGATAGAGTCGGCGAGAGATGAAGGTGAAGAGGAGAGAGAATTGAGAATCGCATGGAGTCGTCATCTTGCTCGAAATTGATTGGCATTCAGAGACTAGGGTTTGATTGATTTGGGGATTTGGTTTGATTTTGATGTAGAAAGTTGTGAATTATTTGGTGGATTTGATTTGATTTTCTACTACTTTGACTTTAATTTATTAAGAAAATAAAAATGTGAGAGTTCAGAATACTAAGGAGATTCTGTGAGCCAGTATATGAAATTTAGAAGGTGAAGTAAATAGTACTCTCGAGCTGTTAAGATCTTCCATACTTGATAGTAAAGTGCATAGTACGCTTATAATAGAGTTAATAAGATCGGGAAAGTTTTGTGGTTTAATCACGGGTATGAGGGAGCAGTTTTGGAAATTGAAGTAGAGATTAAATAAAGATTGGAATATCTTGAGGTATTTTTTTGTTATAAACCAAGTCTTGTTTGGTTATATAGGAGTGTATGATTAGGGCTATATAGAGAAGGATAAGGATAAGGAGATCAGAATGTCATAAAATATAACGTTTTTTAAGGGAGGTGGAGATAAAAGAAGGGATGGGGAATAATCCCCTCTTTAATTCTTTATCCACATAATTACAAAATTCTAGTGGCATAAGAGCATCAACAATGGTTAGTTGTAACTTATATGGCCAACTCAAATTCCAAAGCAGTACATTTTAAAACTATAAGGTCCCTCTTTGATAAAGCCACAATTGTCACAATATCATCTAGGTGCCCACCTGCAATCACTCATTTCCACCTTCACGTGAATTCATGCAAAATAGGATGGTCATTGGAGATTTATTGTGTTAACTACATACTTTTTATCAAACTTGTACAAATTACGTTGCTTGAGAAAAGTACAAGTTAGTTTTTACCACAATGAAGCTAGTTACTGTTATTTTTCTGAATTTGCAAGCAGGTCCTTACTAGCACCCATAGTGGATGCTCTGAGGAGGATGATAAGAATTGTAAACAAAAGACATATGTCGTTGATGTAAAGTAATAAATAACAAAGGGAGAAAGAAAGATTGGGATTGGTAATTTTGCTTCTTATCTTATCTATTCCTTAATCTAGTGGCGGAGACATAAAAAAAAAAAAAAAAAGTTTATTAGGGGGTCAAATGTAATATATGTACTAATATATCTAAATTTTTAAACTGAAAAACACATAATGACAAAATATCGAGTGAATTTAATGCTTAGAATAGTGTTGTAGCTTTATGTGTAATTTGGGAGTTGAAGATTCAATATTCACCCAAGACCAACTCAACTACAATACAACTAACATCATATGTTACAGCATCTAAGATATCATTAAAACCAAGGGGGAGGTCAAGGCCCAACCTAACCCCCCTTAGTTTCGTCTCTGATATAATTGATTACAATTAGCTCGTAATGCACTTCAAAACGGAAATTGATCATATGTTTAAACTCTTGAATTAATCTTACAAAATATGTATTCACAACAAAACTCTTAAACAAATATAAGTACAACCTTAATTAGATCAACCTCAACTAGCAACATTCTATTGGCACACTCGTGATACTTAAATAATCCTCAGGCTCTCACCTTTAAGCATACTTGCAAAACCATTTAACCAAGTTTACCTCTTTTCAACCATGTTCACAAAACAAATCAAGAAATGTGACTTATATGAGTACAAATGAACAATCAAACTATAGATAATATATATACTTTTAGGTAGTGTTTGGTAGCTTAGCTCTAATTTGGTTTGAAACCCTTGAATTCAATTTCAGAAACTAAAATGGTGAGCGGGAGAGGTGATTGGAATGGGATGTTTTTTGGAGTCTTTAATCATAGTGCGATTAAGGTGGTATATATTTATTACAGAATAAATTAAGAGAATGGAAAAAGTTGTCCAAGGGAGAAAAATAAAAGGACATTATTGATGATTTCATTGACAAAGCTTTGAGAATTTTTTTATGGCAGATGTGATTAAAATCGAGCATAATCATGAATAAAAACTATGAAACATGAGCATAATTGAATAATAAAACATGATAATCAAACATACATGTGAAAATTGTTCAATCTTCAAATCTATAATATCTAACTATAACCAACAATTTGCTATATTTTTTTTTTAAAAAAAAAAACCTATAATAAACAATTTAGGGCTTGTTTGACATTGCCTTTTGTTTTCAATTTTTATTTTTTTAAAATAAAAAACCCAATACATGAAACAAGAAAAAAATGTTTCTATTTTTCTATTGTTAGTTTTCAAATTATCATGATTGCAATAAGTTAGAGAAATTTTTAATTCATTATATGATATATTTTCTTCGTTTTTTTAAGTGCCCCAAAGGAGGTGCGCGCGTTGAGGTTTAGGCAAATGACTAAAATAATACTCCATTCTTCCCAAAAAGTTCGACCTTATGACCAAACTCTAGTCCCAAATTGATCGTCCCATGTGCATTAAAATACTCCATGATATGCAACAATATTTGTGCAAAAATTAACTTTCTCATGTAAATTTCACTTTTTCATATATATTCTTTTATTACTTCCTCTTTCTAATTTTTGCAAATTCCATGCAAATTTCACTTTTCAATATACTTTTACTACTTCTTCTTTGACTTTCTTAATACTCGTGAAAATTACCCATAAGAGTCGAACTTTTGAGGACAGAAGGAGTATATGAATGGTCATGGATGAAAATAAAAATTTTTAAAAAATAAGAGAGAGAAATATAAATGAGGAACCACTAGGTATAATGTGAGAGGGAGAATTGAAGAAATAATATTATTAAATGATAGTGGGGTCAAAATAAAGAGAGAGAAATAATATATGTGTGTGAGGTTTCTATAGTTGATAATGGGGTGCTAAAAAAAAAGGCATTTTTGCACTAAAATGGAGTAATGTTTAATTTCTTCCAAATTTTATTATTGTATAATTATCAAGGAGTTACATTCTAAAGGAAATTGTTATGCATATAAAGAGTTTATCAATTAATTAAACTAAACATTAATAAATAGAGCTGAGGTTAATGCATGGAATTTGTCAATTATTAATGGTATGGTAAAATTTGGCGACACATCATATGCCAAATGACAAAATTGGTGATACATGACAAAACAACATGTCTTGCCATGAGTTTTAATAATATATATTGATATTGATTGATTGATTGATTGATTGATATATTGATGATTAATGTAAACCTTTTTTTTTAGGGATACCCAGTCAATTCCCCAGACAAATAAATTTTGCTTATCTGGGGGTATAATTGTCTTTTCAATTACTAGTGGAGGGGTATATGCGTCTTTTCATGTACTAATTGAGGGGTACATGTGTAATTTCCTCATCAAACAGTAAAATCAAAAGACAAACAGTAATTGGACAACTTACCAAAAGTACTGAATAAATGACCCTACTTTTTCAATATATTTACAAAAATGCTATCAGATTAACAAAAAATTGTTTATCTAGTAGATTAACTTGTATTTTTTTTTTTTTTTTTAATTTTTTGAGAATTTGTGTTTTTATTGAGTTCAAGTGCTTAACTTTTGAAAATGCTAGTTTAATGCCTTAATGCCTTATTGTTCAAGAAACCAGAGTATTTCACCTTTTTATTTTCCTTTTATTTTATTTTATTTGCAAAAGAAAAACACTGATACAAAAAGCTCGATTCCTCTTTGTCTCTCACTCTTCTTTTCTTCTTCAACTCATTTTCCCCTTTCTCTCTCTCACTCGCAGATTCCCTCTTTCAATTCCAGATGTCTGTAAGTTTTCTCTCTCTTCGACGAACCCTAATTTCAATTCCGAAACTTCATTTCGTAAATCTGCTGTTAATTGTTAATTGCTGTTGATTTAATTTGATTTTCGATGAAATGAGCAGATCTTCGAGTACAATGGAAGTGCCCTAGTGGCAATGGTTGGGAGAAATTGCTTCGCAATTGGTAGTGATCGAAGATTAGGGGTTCAGCTTCAAACAATTGCTACTGATTTCCAGCGTATTTTCCAAATTCACGACCATCTCTTCATCGGTCTCTCTGGTCTTGGCTCCGATGCCCAAACTCTGTAAGGGTTTTTCAATCAAATTTTCTGGGTTTGTGAATTTTTGCAATTTTTTTGGGGGAAATGATGAAAAGTTTGGAGCTGATAGTGTAATTATGGAATTTTGTGATTTATTTTGGAATTAATGTGAATTAATTTGAGAAAAATGTAGAGAAAATGGAGCTGATAGTGTGATATAATGTAAATTTGAAGGTACCAGAGGCTTGTGTTTAGGCACAAATTGTATCAGCTGAGAGAGGAGAGAGACATGAAGCCTGAAACTTTTGCTAACCTTGTCTCTGCAATTTTGTACGAGAAAAGGTTTGGTTTCTTCATTTGTTTATTCGTTTATTATATACATATATATACTTGCCTTGCTTATTACTCTAATGCTACCTTCAATTAGTAGTTGTGTTGATAGTATAATCTGAATTAGTAATGTGACAATTAAGTTTGGACGGATGGGGTATGAATGTATAACGCCGTTGATAAAATTTAGGCTTCAATGGTTAAGATTGAGACTTGTATTGTTGAACCTCTTTATTGTCCACAGAAAAATAACCACTTCATAACTTAGAGGAGGTACTCCTATTACCAATTGATTTGGGGATGAAATTTCCTTTAGGCTAATTGGGCCAAACGCTCCTCGTTGGGTTGTGTGCATTTTATATTTTTAAATTAAAGAGATGTTCTTGATCATTGTTTTAGAAGCTTATACTATACACTTGTTGCCCAAGTCATTTATGTTTGATTGTTTCTTTTGTATTATTAGAGGGCAAATATGGATGTAATTGGCTTAATTTTAGAAGAGAAAAAGTGCCTATCTTAATAATTTTTTGGAAATAGAAAATCCTTTGTTGCTTTAAACTTCCACCTTGACAACAAGAAACTAATGCTGTATTGTTCTTGATGATGTGACTTTAGGTTTATTGCTACTACCTAAGATGTGGTAAAATGGACTGAACTGTTGTTAGATTGGGATTTGGGATTTAGCATTATTTTTGATTTGTCCATATACTGATCACATGTTGTATAGTATATTGTGATTTGTACTGACACTGATTACGTTTTGTGTATTACGGAGTATAAAGTGAAAAAAGACTGACCATTTGCTCTCCTGCCACTCCTTTTCGCCATCAAGTAGCTGGTACTCCAGACATAGCTCAGAAGCCTATTTTTTATTTTTAGTCATACAGTGCGCAATCTCATAAATCCCTTATGTGCTGTTCTAGATTTCTTTAAGCTATCAATAATTAGTAATTAAAGCTTCATAGAATCCTGCTGTTGTTGAATTCCATATTTGTTGTTGTACCAATATTTTGCTGTCGTCTTATTGGTTGCTATTTTTTAAGAAAAC